ACACACACACACACAAACAAACAAACACACACACACTTGCACACAGAGAGGGTCGTCGCAATATGCGTTTTTGAAATTCTCGTATAGGCAAAAACGCATAAAAATGACATCCTGAGCGGGCATTTCGCCTTTAACGCAGAGCATAGTATCACACCAGATATCGTGGTCAACGACATGTACACTGGGGATTCGGACTCCAGAAGTTTCGAAGCAACCTAGCTTATGTAGGAGGCTTAGAGCAGCATCTTTTGCTGCAGCTTGCATGGAGTTTAAAGCTGAGGCTCACCAAGGCCTAGTGAGTCAGAATAAAATGACTTCATCTTTTTTATAAGAGCTCGGTCAAACATCATAATCCTTTGGAATTTTATGCAGAAAAGCACTGTGCCGTGCATGTAAGTGTCTGTACGCATCTGCTGTGTTTGTGTGTGTGTGTGGTACGTGCGTTTGTGTGTGATTGTGCATGCGCATGTGTGTATGCTTATGTAGGTGTGTTACGTGTTGGTAGTGTTGTAATCAGGCACCCTCTCGACCTGGGAAAACAAATTTTCTGTTAATGCAAAATTGTTGAGCCATAATCCCAGCATACAATAATATTAGGTTGAAAACAGATGCAACGAAAACAGGATTTGTAGGTTTATAACATCTTTAGAACAATTTAATTCTCTGGCTTTTACCACAGTGAAATCTAGTTTTACGTGAAAAACTTCCGAGTGGAATGAAATTTTGCAAGCGCTTACCACGGGAGACTTTTTGTGCCTGTCTCGTTTTGACAAGATATAATTTCAGTTGGCAGAAACGGCGCAGTAGGGAGTACCGGTGCTTTCAAGCAGTAGGTCCAAGTCTTGACCCTGCCAGTGGGGCAGCCAATTTCTCTTCGATTTATTCATTTGTTTCAGTGGTAAATTGGTACAGGAATATTCCACGGAGAAAAAGCCATTTGCTTATATTCAATAAAAATTTGCTTGAGACTCAGTGAATATAGAAGACTGGTATTGATGTTAAAGCTCTGAATTGTTATTGATACGTGTAAGCGTCTGTATATGCTTGCGCATGTGTTTAAACCTTTGACAGTATTACAATACGGTACCTTCTCGATTTGAACAGAAAACATTCCTGATGATGCAAATTTGTTAATCCATAATCCAGCACAAACGTCTGTGATACGCCTTACTATTTCCTCTTTCTCATATTAAAATTTTCTAGTTTTGCATTAAAGATTTCCGAGTTGAATGAAATTTAGCAAGCATCAACCACAGGAAAGGTTTTCTGTCGGAGTAAGCGGAGCAATGTGATCAAGATTTCTCCCGAAAAGAAGAATGGCTGTTGTCGAGAGCCGTTCCGACATCATAACAGTATCTTAATATTTGAATGGAGTGAAATGCATTGCAATAAAAACCGAGCGAATAGGCTAGCAGTGAAATTCCGGAAATATCCATTATATTCTCTCTCACTTGTTTTCTGAATTGCTGTGCAGCTTTTTTTTAGCTTTGTAATTTGTCAAAACTGGATGCAAAAAATTTCGGAAAGTTGAACCAACGTGGTTGTGTTGAGTCAATCTGCTCATTTTAATATTTGAGGATCTTGAAAATCG